CCAACACCACAATTCAAAAGCATCAACTCTTCTTATGTCTTCCCTATTTATTATCCAGCTTTCACATGCATATGAAGATACTAAAAATACCATGGCTTGGATTAGGCACACCTCAGTCTTCAAAGAGAACTTTGCTCTTCAGCACTTTAAAGAGGTCTTTTGCAGCAGAGTTGCCCAGTGCAATACATCATCTGATTTGACTGCTGCTTCCACTGGTACTGACTGTGGAACCAAGTAATACGAAATCTCTGATAACGTCAACCTTTTCTCCATTCATCGTGATGCTGCTTATTGGTCCAGTTGTGAGGAGTGAGGCCAGAGTCAGCTGAAAGATGGCCTTTCCAGCAGGTTTCACAGGAAGCCCATCCACTCCCCTTAGGGGCCTTCCTCTCTAAGCAGCACTTTCACTAGGCAACCTGCCCTTGAAATGTGTCGAATGTGTAACCCAAATTTACCTCAGCTTCTCCTCACCACTTGCAGCATTGTTGTTTCAATGGAAAATTAAATTAGCCGTGCTTCATCAAGTGTTTACATCTGTTATTTGAATGTTTAAATGGATCTGTAATTCCTTCCTTCACTCAGCGTGTCCTCAAAGGCTTGGACAATTGATGCAGGATTGTCTGGGGTCTCCAGCTTTCTTCTCTGTAATCGTTGATTCCTTTCAGCTAAAGACAGTTCTGTAGATGAGACAGGGTGGGAATCTCACTCAGTGACAGTCAATCAGGGAGCATTGGTCAGAGGGAGGCCCTTCACTGTGACAGAAATAATTCCAGACAAAGGTAGAGACAAAGGGGACAACAAAGACGGAAGCTGCTCCCTGTGTTAGGACTTCTCTCTCCACAGCCAGGGCAAAAGGGTCCACCGGCTATGACCTCGCCCCAGCCTTGGGTCAGAAGTTGCCCAGTTATAAATGTTTACCCATCTTAGCCATCTATTATGTTCTAAAGCATAAAACACTCTAAGCAAAAATTTTATAAATTATAAAATAGGCTCGAAAACTTTGTCCTTTTACAATGATAATACAGTAATCCTAAAATGCTTTATCTTGTGTTTGTTTGTGTTTTTTGGTGGTGTTATATGTTGTTGTTGTTGTTGTTGCTGTTAGGTGCCGTCAAGTCGGCTCCGACTCGTAGCGACCCTGTGACAAGAGAACGAAACACCGCCCGGTCCTGCGCCAGCCTCACAGTTCTGGCGATGCCTGAGCCCATCGTTGCAGCCACTGTGTCAGTCCATCTCGTTGAGGGCCTTCCCTTTTTCTGCTGACCCTCCACTTTACCGAGCATGATATCCTTCTCCAGGGAATGGTTCCTCCTGACAAAATGGCCCAAGTAGGTGAGACCAAGTCTGGCCATTCTCGCTTCCAAGGAGCATCCCAACTGCACTTCTTCCAGGACAGATTTGTTTGTTCCTCTGGCAGTCCACAGTACCTTGAGCATTCTCTGCCAACACCACAACTCAAAAGCAGCAACTCTTAGTAGGGACCTACGTCATATCTAGGAGCTTTGGTGGCACTGTGGTTAAAGCATCAGACTGCTAATCAAAAGGCCAGTGGTTCAAACCCACCAGCCACTCTGCAGAAGAAAAATGCGGCAATCAGCTTCCATAAAGATTTACAGCCTTGGAAACCCTATGGCATAGTTCTGCCTTGTCCTACAGTGTCACTATGAGAAGGACTTGACTCGATGGCAGCGAGTGAGGTTTTTTGATTATGTCATATCTATATACACTTTTCAGTTTTACAGGAACCATTCAGGATTGTGGGGGCAGTCATGAGGTAGTAATTTCTGTTTTACCAAAGTGTTCTTTTTATAAAGTAACACACTTTTGTTTTCAAAGGCCATGGTAAGTATATTTCTTTTGCCTTGACCCCAAATGCCAAATATAACTTAGGCATTTTTTTCTGGGTAAATGTTCTTTGAAATCATGCTAAATATGTTTGAGCCCGACATAAAAAGTATTTAAGAAATCAAAGTAAAAAGTAAAATTTAAAAAGAAATAAAAGACAAACAGGTTGGGAATAAAGTAAAACTGTTTTATTCACAAATGATAGTATCCTGTACATAGAAAATCCTAAGGTGCACGCACACATACACACACACACCCACACAAACACCCCTAGCAGAACTAATAAACCAACTCAGTAAGACTGTGGGATACCATAGGAATATATGAAGGCCCATTCTGTATCTCTTTATACTAAGGAACTCTGATGGTAGAGTAGTAAGGCATTTATTGGCTGCCAACCAACAGATCAGCAGTTCAAACCCACCAACTGCCCCACAGGAGGAAGATGAGGCAATCTACTTCCATAAAGATGTATAGCCTTAGAAACCCAATGGGGGTCACTATGAGTCAGAATCAACTGGATGGTAGTGGGTTTGGGTTCTCTGTACTAGCAAAGAAAAACCAAAATTGAAATTAACAAAACAATTCCGTTTACAATGGGACCAAAGAGATTAAAATCTAAGGAATATATTTAATAAGAAGTCCACAACTGACAAATACAGAACACTACTGAGAGAAATGTCTAATCTCCTGAATAAATGGAGAGATTGGAAGACATGATATTGTTTAGGTGGTAACTTTCCCCAAATGGATCTAAGAATCCACGCAATCCCATCCAAACTCCAGCAGTCTGTTCTGCAGAAATTGAAAAGCTAATTCCAAAACTCAATTTTGAGAAAGAACAATGTGGGAGGATTGTCACATCCCAATTTCAAAACCTACTATAAAACTACAGTAAGAGACACCAGGGAGTTGCAGCCACCTACCCCAGGGAGATGCACCCCTTGGATCCATCAGCCATGAGACACCAGAGGGGCAGCATCCACAAAGAGGAAAAGCCCAGGGCCAGGAATGCATAGATGTGAAGGGCACAGGCAGCGGAGAGTCACAGGGAGGAGATGGGAGGAGAGCTTTATGTGGTTGGGGATTGTAATCGGGCCGTGAAATCAAATGTGCATGAACTATTGAGAGTAAAACAAATCGACTTTGTAAATGTGCACCCAAATCACAACTAAAAAATAAAAAACTACAGTCTAAGACAACATGGTACTAGCAGAATTCAGAGTCCAGAAATAAGCCCTTATGTTGGCGGCCAATTTTCAACAAAGATGCCAAGGCAGTTTAAAGGGGAAAAGATAGTCTTTTCAAGAAATAGTGCAGAGACGATTGGATCACATGTAAAAAGATGAATCTAAACTCTTACTTCATACCATACACAAAAATAAACACAAAACCAACCAGAGAACTTAACTAAGAGCCAAAAGGATAAAATGTCTAGAATAAAAACCAAAGAAAATCTTTGTGGATTTTAGTTAGGCAAAATGTTCTTAAATGTGACACCAACAGCATGATTCATAAAAGAAATACATGTATATAAACTGGACTCCATCAAAGGAGCTCTGGTGGTGCAGTGGTTAAGGTATTTGGCTGCCCACCAAAAGGTCAGTGGTTTGAATCCACCAGCCACTCTGCGGAAGAAAGATGAGGCGGTCTGCTTCTGTAAAGATTTACAGCCTTGGAAACCTAATAGGTCGCTATGAGTCAGAATCAACTCAATGGCAGCTGAGTTTGGTTCTGGGAGTTTTTTTGGACTTCATTAAAATTTAAGATTTTTGCATTTCAAAGGTTATCACTGTTGTTGTTGTCATGTGCCATAGAGTCGGACCCAACTCATAGCAACCCCACCTTGGGTTTCTGAGGCAGTTATCACTACAGAAGTAGATTGCCCAACCTTCCTTCCGAGGACTGGCTGGTGGGTTTGAACCACCAGCCTTCTGGTTAGCAGTCAAGTGCCTTAGGCACTATGCCACCAGAGCTCATCACTGGGCGGGGGGGGGAGTCACCAAGTGGGAGAAAATATTTTAAAATCACGTATATGATAAAACTGGGCAACACAAAGATAGACAATCTAATTTGTAAAATGGGTAAAAGATTTGAACAGACATTTCACACGTAAAAAAATAGAAGCACAAATTGTGAGCCATTAGGGAAACAGAAAGATCATGTTCAATATTATGAACCATTAGGGAAATAGATATTAAAACCATGATGAGCTAGCACTTCACACTCACAAGAATGGTTATAATGAACAAGACAGACAAGTGTCAAAGAGGATGCAGAGCGTGGAACTCCCAGAAATTATTAGTAGGGGTGTAAAATAATACAGCCCCTTGGTTATTTCTTAAAAGCTTAAACATAAACATACCATACTATCCGGAAACTCCACTCCCAGGAATCTACCCAAGAGAATGAAAACCTAGGTCTGTATATGTACATGGGTTCAGAGCGACATCATTCTTTACACCAAAAAGTGGAAACAGCCCAAACACCCATCAACTGGGGAACACATAACAAAACGTAGTGTATCTGCTCGACAGAACATTGTTTAGCCACAAAAATAAAATACTGATAAACACAACACCATGGATGAACCCTCGGAAGGATGGTTGGGCAATCCTACTTCCGTAGTGATACTGCCTCGGAAACCCAAGGAGGGGTCGCTATGAGTCGGGGCCGACTCGATGGCACATAACAACAACAACAACAATGGATGAACCTCGAAAGCTTTATCTTAAGGGAAGGATGTCAGATGCAAAAGCCTGCAATACTGTGTGATTCCACATACGTGAAACATCCGGAAAAGACAAAGTTACAAAGACAGAAAGTGGCTTACTGGCTGCCTGGGAACAGGGTACACTGGGAGTGACCCAAGGTGGGCTTCTAGAGGCAGAAAAATTTGCAAACATTGATTGTGGTGATGGTTGCACAACTTGTAAATTTACTAAAAACCAGTGAGTTGCCCATTTACAACAGGCAGATTTTATTTTATTACAATGGGCGTGTATATTTTTATACCTCAACAGAACTGTTACTGAGAAAGTAACAATGGCAGTTTTTTTAAAACCAAAAATCAAGTTGTGGACACCAACGTTATCTCACACAAATTCAAAACGATTAATATTCAACCCGAGATTATGCTCTGAAGCCCGGGTTACGGAATGAATTTGTCTTCAATGGCAGCATGGGATGTAACACCACATTGACGGTGGTGTTCTTCGTCCGTGAGTCTGACATCTGCACACTCATGTGTTTATATAGCAAGCATCTGTCTGGAGTCTCCTTATAATCTGAAACAGCCTCCTCTAATAGGTACAAGTGTGCAGACAGAGAAGTGGACTGTCAGCAGACACAAATGCAATTTAGCAAATGCCATGTGCCTCAACTTGCATGTGATGAAATTATAACTTCAATAGAAGCAGTAACAACAGTCTTACCCCATAACCGATAAAGTGACCTTACTGTCTTCTCAATAACCAGTGTCTCTTTAAACTAGTCTTTCAATGAGCCAAACCAAGAGAACTGTGTAAATGTCTCAATGTGTACAGTTTACCAACAGCAACTTAGGAATCAGCATAACTGATAATCGTTTAGACACAGAATGCCTATCAAACGATGGTGACGAGGACAAAAGGAGCTGTCACTGCATTTCTTTATTCTGAAAATTGGCAATTCAAAATGCAAACATTAATATTTATCCTGCTGTACTGCTTTTCTATGGGTGTGTAACAAACTACCCCAAACTTGTCGTGCCATGGCAACCCACGCACCACAGAAAGAAACACTGCCCAGCCCCACGCCATCTCCATGATCGGCTGAGGAACAGACCATTGTTTTCATTGGCTGGTTTTCAGAAGGAGACTGCCAGGCCTTTCTCCCTCATCCATCTTAGTCTGGCAACCTGTTCACCATCATAGCAACACGCTGAGCCTGAGAGGCAATGGCTGGGAGTCGAACGCACCTCTCCCATGCGGACTGTGAGAACTCCACTGCCACTGTCTCATACCACAAACATCGTGACTTAAAAACAATACTCATTTATTATCTCATAGCCTTACAGACTGCAAGTCCAGGTGGTGGCGGCTGGTCCTCTGCTTAGGATCTCCCGAAGCTGAAACCAAGGTGCCAGCCAGTCTGGGCTCTTATCTGGAGTCTCTGGGGAGGGATCTGCTTCCAACCTCATTCCGGGTGTTGGCAAAATTCAGTTCCTTGTGGTTGTAGAAATGAGGTCCCAATTTCCTGGCTGCGGTCACTCTCGGCTCCTAGACAACACCCACATTCGCTCTCAAAGGCCTTTTCATCTTCAGAGGCAGCTGCGGTGCTTCGAACCCTCAGGCTTCCAGTCCCCCTGGCGTCCTCTTCTGCTGCCAGCCTGAGAAAATGCTGCGCTTTTAAAGGTGTTAATCTTGATTATTTCTGCAAAATTTCTTTCTGTCATGTTACTCATGGAGGAACACCAGGAGATGAAGGCCATGGGTGTCACCTCAGAATCCTGCCCACCATGTCTGCCTCTCCTATATAAAATATACTTAAAAGCAGCTACGCAGTTCCAGCTGAGTGAAAGTTCCTTTCAGAAGGACTGTGCTAAAGAGACATGGAAGGAATGGCATAGTTAGGAAAAAAAAAAAAAAAAATCTGCATTTTGCAACTCCCTAATTGATAGAGATAAATATTATCAATGGAGGAGGAAAAAAAAAAAAAAAAAAAGAACAGTAGAATTGATGAGGGACTTAACAGCTGACCACACCTGAACCCACTTCAGAGACATGACTATAGAGACACACACGTGTGATGTGCCCCCAAGAGGAGGCACACCATCGCCTATGCAGGACTTCTCCAGAAAAAGTTCAGTCTGACTCTAGACAAGCCATTAGGGCTAACTATCAGTTTACAGAAAATACAAGAAATAAAGGTGCAATTTAAACCGGTGCCATGAAGCAGCAAACAAAAAAAATCCCAACTGTGGGACATTCTTCAATAGAACTGACCCAGTTTCTTCCAATACGTCAATCGTGTGTGTGCGTGTATGTGTGCGTAAGACAGAGAAATCGTCTAGATTAAAAGAGACGTTATTACCAATTACAATATAAGGATGGTATTTGGATCTTAATGCAAACATACCAAAAGTCAAAAGATATTTTTAAAGTAATTAGAAACATCTGAATATAAAGTAGTACTAACCCCCACTGCCACCGAGTCCATTTCAACTCACAGTGACCCCATTGGGTTTCCAAGGCTATACATCTTTAAGGAAGTAGATTGCCTCATCTTCCACCTGCACAGCAGCTGGTGGATTTGAACCACCGACCTTCTAGTTAGCAACCAAATGCTTTGCCCACTACACTACCAGAGCAACCCTATAGAACATACTAAAATTGCCTCATGGGTTTCCAAGGCTATAACCTTTATGGAAGCAGACTGCCACATCTTTCTCCAGCAGAGCCTTGTGGGTTTGAACTGCTGACCTTTCAGTTAGTAGCAGAGCACCTAACCACCGTGCCACTAGGGCTCCTTCTGTCTCTAAACTGGGATTCATTATTCTCAACTACTGTTGTGTATGATTGAAAATGCTCATGATAAACAACTTCATTTAAGGCCTTTCGTTCACTGAGCATTGGCTGAGAACCAATCACTGGGTTAAGGGCTTTGTACACATTTGCCTGCAGAATCCTTACAACAGCCTCTGGAGTAGGTCCTATAATATCGCTGCTCCTGTAAATAAGGAAACTAATGACGCATCAACCAGATCAGGCTGTAGCCGACAGGTCTGCCAATCACCCATTATCTCAGCCATGCCTCAGGAGCCACGTAAATCAACGATTCCTACACTTTTCATTTCACAAAACACATGGGCAGCTTTGAACCACTGACCTTCTGGTTAGGAGCCAAATGCCTTACCCACTAGGCCAGCAGAGCTCCTTGTGTAGCACACATGGGAGGGCATTCCCCAGCCCTGTGACAGCCATTTGTATTGGGATGCTGGTGAGGAATAGGAAGAAAGACGAGATACGGATAGGTAGCTGGACAGAAGGAAAAAGAATCAGGAGAACCACAGAAAAGCAATAGGGAGAGAGCGGGAGAAGGGGAGTGAGGCAGCAGCAGGAAGATGGGGAGTCAGCCATGGCAGAGGCGGGTGGGGCAGATGGGCAAGCCAAAGGAGAAAAGAGCAGAAGCAGGAAGGCAGGAAAGAACTGGGAGGCGACAGTCACTCCTGCCACCACCCACCTTCCATTTTTCCCAATCTCGAATTCCAGCCAGAAAGTGGGAATGTTACAAAAGCCAAAGGAGGGAGGAGACAAGCACTGTTGGTGCTGTTGTTACTGCCGTCAAATCAGACCCGACTCACAGCGACCCCTCCTCGGGTTCCCGAGGCGGTATCACTACGAAAGTAGATTGCCCCACCTTCCTTTCCTTCAGAGGAGTGGATGGTGGGTTTGAACCGCCAGCCTCCGGTTAGCAGTCAAGTGCCTCAGGTGCTATGCTACCAGAGCTCCTGAGATGAGCACTAGACACAAGAAAATAAAACACATAACTATGTCAAAACTAATTGTAGACTTGTATCCAGTCCTTATACCTTGTACTCTCTCCCACTCCTCCAATCAGCTACTACTATTTCCTGTGAACTTCCTCCCAGTTTAAGTTTAAATTCAGCTTCTCCTGAACAGCTCTAAGTTCACAAATTGAAAGGAAGTTTTATTTTATAAAGGGAGCGCTGGTGGCGTAGTGCCTAAGGCACTTGACTGCTAACTGGAAGGCTGGCGGTTCAAACCCACCAGCCACTCCTCAGAAGGAAGATTGGGCAATCTACTTCCATAGTGATACTGCCCTGGAAACCCAAGGAGGGGTCGCTATGAGTTGGGTCTGACTCGAGGGCAGTGAGCTGTTGTGACCCCTCCTTGGGTTTCTGAGGAAGTATCACTACAAAAGTAGATTGCCCAGCCTTCCTTCCCAGCAGTGGCTGGTGAATTTGAACCACCAACCTTCCAGTTAGCAATCAAGTGCCTTAGGCACTATGCTACCAGAGCTCCTTTGTTTACTTTATAAAACAATTAAAAAAAAAAAAAAAAGTTTAACAGCATTATTGAGATAAAACCCACATGCAATCAGCGCCCAGGGAAGCAGGTCTCAGGGAAGAATTGAAGTTAAGAACTAAAGCCACACTAATGCCATTACAAGGAACCCTGACGGCACAATGTTTAAACACTCAGTTGATAATCTAAAAGTTTGTGGTTTGAACTGACCCAGTGACTCCGCAAGAGAAAAACGCAGGCAATCTGCTCCTGTAAAGACAACAGCCCAGGAACCCTATGGGGCAGTTCTACTCTGTCACCTGGGGTCACTAGCAGTCAGAATCAACCAGATGGCACCGAACAACAGCAATAACAACAGTGCTTTTAGGGGCTCAGATCAAGGCTCTTGCAATAAGAGTCAGGAAAGGTCTTAATCAAAACAACAGGAAGCCCTGTTTTGGGGTCTATGTGTGGACAGGTAAGATGTTAGAGAGGGGCAGAAAACACAAAAGAAGAAAGAATTCTTACCACACTTCAGAAACTAGAATCAGAGCTGCTGGGAAAATAGCAATCTACCAGTTATACTTTGTGTGTGTGTGTGTGTGTGTGTTGTTGTTGTTGTTGTTGTTGAGAATATACACAGCAAAACATACATCAGTTCAACAGTTTCTACATGTACCATTTAACGACAGAGGTATGCAACCGTTCTCACCCTCCTCTGAGCTGTTCCTCCCTCATTAACATAAACTCACTGCCTCCTAAGGTTCCTATCTGAAATTTCGAGTTACTGTTGTTGATTTGATCCTATACAGATAGTTTTTAAAAGAGCATAATGTTCAAGGCAGACTTTTTTTTCACTAGTTAAGCTGTTGTTTGATTTTAAGAAGACTTCAGGGGATAATTTTGGTTTAATGTTTAAAGATTATTTCAGGGCAATAGTTTCAGAGGTTCATCCAGCCTTCATGGATCCAGACAGTCTGGATTCCACAGGAATATGAACTTCTGTTCTATATTTTTCCCCTTTTGATCAGGATTCTTCTATGGAATCTTTGATCAAAATGTTCAGTAAAGGTAGCTGGGCACCATGTGGTTCTTATGGTCTCATGACATATTCCACATCCTCCTCTTATTCTTGACTGTCATTCTTCCTCTTTCGCTCCCAGCAAATAGAGACCAATTATTGTGTCTTGGATGGCTGCCTGCAAGCTTTTAAGACCCTAGGCACCATGCGAGGAACTAGGATGTTAGAACAGAAACACTAAACATGTTATTAGGCCAATTAACTGGGATGTCCCATGAAACCATGACCCTAAACCTCCAAATCAAGGAACCAAATCCCATGAGGTGTTTGGTTGTACATAAGCAGACTCAGGAGCTATGAGCTTTTTTTTTTTAAAAGAGTCATTGTTGTAAATATACCTAACACACAACCCTTGCCAATTCAACTTTTTATAGGTATACAACTTACTGACAGCAATTACATTAATTGGCTGTGCAACCTTACTCTTAATCAATGTGATATTTCTATTACCAGTAATCTCCTTTCCCTCTCACACCTACCCCTGGTAACCACTAATAAACTTTAGTCTCTCTATATTTGACTTTTTCTTGCCTTCTTATATAAGTGAGGTCATATAATGTTTGTCCTTTTGTGATTGACTTATTTCACTCAGCATAATGTCTTCCAACTGCATCCACCCTATAGCAGGATCAAGACTTCACTTCTCCTACTGGCTGAGAAGCATCCCATTGTATGTATGTACTGTATTTTGTTAATCCATTCACCTGCTGATGGGCATTTGGCTATTGTGAATAGTGCTGCAATGGACACTGACGTACAAGTCCACCAGTTATAGCTTAGTAATAAGGAATCCCTTGTTCAAATAATATGTAAAAAGGCCTTCTCTTCACAGCAGCATTATTCCTAATAGCCTAAATGTGAAAACAATCTAAATACCTAGCAACTAATGAATGAATAAATAAAATGTGGCATATCTACACACTGGAATATTATTCAGCCAGAAAAAGTAATGAAGTACTGATACGTGCTACAGTGGAGAGGAACCTTGAAAACATTAAGCTAACTGAAAGAAGCCAGTCACAAAAGACCACACATTCTATGGCCCCATTCATCTGAAATGTCCAGAACAGAGAAACCCACAGAGATGGAAAGTTGATTACCATATTTTTAAGCAAATATTATGTACCTTCTGCATTTGTTTGCCAACTGCTTCCTACCCCTGGGAGGTATTTTTGTAAACACAATATGCTAATTCTTTTTTTTTTTTTAACAGCAACATGTAAAAAAAAAAAAATGGCATAGTGATACCTACAAAAATACCTCCCCAGGCAGTGAGCAGTAAATGTCAAAAGTGGGTGTTATTTGCACTGAAATGCAGTAGTGGTTTCCGGGGGCTGGAAGAAGCCGGGAATGAGAAATGACTGTTAATGGGGGTGTGGTTTCTTGATGCAGTGTTGAAAATCCTAATCTAAAATTAGATTGTGGTGATGGTTATACAACTCTGAATAAACCAAAAACCACTCAACTTGAAATGGGTAACTTTTATGGTAGGTGAACTGTATCTCAATAAAGATGCAAAAATAAAATTAATTCAATAAGTAAATAACTCATTTCTTCTTTCCTTCTCTCTCAAAAACAATTTACCTCTCTATTATTATTACCTTAGGGCTTTATTTTCTTTTCGCTGGACACAATCAAAAGCAAATAGGAGTTTTCCTTTGTTATGTTAATGAGGACACAGCAGAGGAGGGTGGACCCTAAACCTAATCACTTCTGAGCTATAAAAAGAACAGAACAGACACAGAGGTACCCACGGGGGAAGGTGCCACGTGAAGACAAGACACACGCAGCAGACACGTCGACAGGCCCAGAGACACCAAGGATGGCAGCTGCAGCTACTAGAAGCTGAAACAGACAAAAAAAGAACACGCCCTCCCCCCAGAGCCACGCCCTGAATTTGGACTACCAGCCTCCTGAACTGTAAGAAAATAAATTTCTGTTCTTTAAAGCCACCTATTTGTGGGACTTATTAGCATACTTGAACAAAACAGAACGTTGTGTTTCTAAAAAAAATCTTTCTGGTGCTTACCAGTGACCCTCCAGATTCTATTTTACATCCATTGTTTCCCTCCCAGTAATATTTAACGAATTTCCACAGCAGAAAGGAAGGAGAAACGGAAATCAGAACAAGTCACTTCACCTCTCAGTGTGTGCATCTCCCATCTGTACACGAAAGGGGTAACCCGGAATTACCCACAACTCTCAGTCACAATGGGGCCTACCAGTCTATTAATCAGGGAAACAGAACTCTACGCAGAAATAGAGTCCTAGGGAACGTTCATAGGATCTTAATTTCTTGGAACGTTAATGAAGTAATTTCCTGCAGCAACAAAATAATTTGAAAACTAAGATGCATAGCTCTTCAGCAAACCATATGAATGATTGCAGGAGCCAAGCAAGGCACAGTGGAGGGAAAGGGGCTCCCACTGTCTCATATTCAGCTGCACAAAAGCCCTAGAATTATCCATTTATCCCATAGTAAGGGGCACACTGACAACACGGCTAATGGCAGGCTACATAATGAATCCTATCCTGGCTGAGAACAAAATTTTGTCGAGGAAATTGCTGGACAATAGGAACTGTTTCGTGAGACTGAAAAGAAGAAAAGGATGCAGACCACAGCTCTGACTGCACCTTGCTGGTGGCCACCTCTGAACAAACTGCAGCTTTTACAAGGCAGATGAGGTCACAGGATGGCACTTCCTCATTGGCCAGGAGACTCCACACTAAAGTAGTCTCTGTGCACTCCTCACAAAGCCCCCCTCCGTGACCCGCTAGGGAAATACAGAGCCCTGCCGGCGCAACGGTTAAGCGTTCAGCTGCTACCCGAACAGTCATCGATTCTAACCTACCAGCGGCTCTACAGGAGAAAAGAGCTGGTGATCTGCTCCCATAAAGATTACAGCCTAGAAAACCCTACGGGACAGTTGTACTCTATCACATGGGGTCTCTGTGAGGCGAAATCAACTCAACAGCAGGCGGCACGACAGAGCCAAGACCAGCGCTGGCCAGACCACCTGGGTGTTGGCCAGGGAGACACTGCCCCTCCCATGTAGACATGTAACAGAGGGGCGTCATCATGACCAGCCAAGGAGAGATTCCAATGGAGCCGCAGGAACAAGAATAACTGATGTGGTCCTGATCTCTAAGAGCTGCACAAAGAAACCATAAATGTGTGAAAACTGATGAGAGGAAGTAAGCCAGCCCCAGCCCTAGAAGGAGACGGCCAACCACAGGAGTGGAATCCCACTGACGAGGGCTCAGGCCAAGTCCCTGTGGCCACAGGAAGTAAAGCAGCAGCAGGAGAAGCTGGGGACCTCAGGCAAGTGCATGTAAGTCCAAAAGGAGGACAGTGTACTCAATGCTCGCCATGAACTGAGGGCCCAACGGGAAGAACTTCTTTTTGGTGAATGAGTAGTGAATCCTTTGATTTTGGGCAATGCTCCAAACTGCATCAACTGAAGCCAAACTTGTCGTTTTCCCAAGCACTACTTCACAGAACATATGTCTGGGAATATATCATTAAGTATCTCGCTAAGTGCATGACACTTCCTTCATTCCCAACCTTAGGCACAAAGCACATAAAGAATTAGGGGTTGATTTCTACATTACCATAGTGTCACTGGGTACCCTTGCCAAAACGACAGCACGCCAAAGGGATGAGCAGGACTTACCAATTTTCTGACTGAAAATCTTGTCAAAGGTTATTTCCTTTCTCTCCTCAAGGTACTTCTGCATCACACTCCGGATACTAAAAAACAAAAGTAGCACATTTCTATGTCATATTCCAGAATAAATTTATATTCTATATTTATGTTAAATACATTTATACACCATATTTATATTTATATATTAACAACACAGCCTGCCTCATGAAGATTTCATTCCATAGAATACAAAATCCCCAGTGAGAAAACACTTGTCAGTCCTGACTCGTGGTGACCCCTGCATGTGTCAGGGTAGGACTAGGCTCCACAGGGTTTCCAAGCACTGACTTTCCAGAAGCAGACTGCCAGGTCTGTCTTGTCTTCCTTTTGGTTAACAGCTGAGTATGTCAATCATTTGCCCCACCCAGGGTCTCCATGAAAAAACACATGGATGTTTTAATTCACGGGTACCAGCTACAATAAAACCTGTGAAAGCCAGAACCTGTGTAAGGCTGAAATTTGTCAGAGAAGGAAAACTCAAATATCTTCCACTAATCGAGAGAGAAAGAAAGTGGTAAGACTGCACTTGGTCAAAAGCAAAACCTGGAAAATAAGGCAGTCCCATAGTGTTCTGGGCCTCACAGGTTTCACTGCCATGTAAGACACCTCTCTCTCTGACATCCATGACCACATAAAATGACTGACTAGACTAAAAGCTAGGAATATAATGGTTCCCTGTTACCCTCACCCTGTGACTCAGGTTCAACCTTACATGTTGGACACTCAACTATGAAACTTAAAGTGCTAAGAAAACTGGTTTCCACATGCAGAAAAAATGAAACAGGATCCTTGCCTCACACCATACACACACACACACCCACACACACACACAAAAAAAAAAAATTGAAGCAGATTAAGGACCTAAATGTGCAAAGTAAAACCTTAAGATTCTTAGAAGAACAAGCAAGGGCAATGCTGTCAGGCCTAACTTTTCACAATGGATTATCTAATAATATAACAAAAGCACAAACAGCAAAAGACAAAATAAATAAATGGGACCTCATGAAAACCAAAGACTATCAAAAAAATGAAATGACAATCTACTGGCTGGGAGAATAGCTTTGTAAACCATATATCTGACAAAACTCTAATAATCAAAATAATAATCAAACTTTGACAACTTAACAACAAAAAGACAAATAATCCAATTATAAAATGGGCTAAGGACATTTCTCCTAAAAGGACATTCAAATGGCCAACAACCACATGAAAACATGTTCATTGTCGTTGCTGTTGTTATGTGCCGTCGAGTTGGACCCAACTCATAGCGACCCCTCCTTGGGTTTCCAAGGTGGTATCACTATGGAAGTAGATTGCCCAACGTTCCTTCCAAGGAGTGACTGGTGGGTCATTAGCCATCAAAAAATGCGAACTGAAACCAGAATAAGATACCATTAGGGTGGCTAAGATAAGAAAAAAAGAAAATAACAATTACTGGCAAGGATGGGGGAAATTAGAACTCTTATCCATTGCTGGTAGGAATATAAAAATGGTACAGCCACTCTGGAAAACAGTGCGACAGTTCCTCAAAACTCTAACAATAGAACTACCATATGACCCAGTAATTCCACTCCTGGTTATACACCCAAAAGACTTGAGACAAAGACTAAAGCAGAGACTTGTACATCAATGTTCATTGCAGCACTATTCACAATAGCCAAAAGGTGGAAACAACCTAAACGTCCATCAGCAGATGAATGGGTAAACAACATGTGGTCATACAGTCAATGGAATACTACTTAGCCAGTAGGAGAAATGAAGTCTTGATGATGTTAAAGAATGGATGGAGCTTGAAGACACTATGCTGAGCAAAATAAGCCAATCACAAAAGGAAAAATATTATAAATACTGTATGACCTCACTTATATAAAAAGACAAGAAAAAGCAAATGTGTAGAGAACAAAGTTGATTGGAGGTTACCAAGGGCTGGAGCGAGAGGGAAAAGGGGCAGTTGGTTGTCATGGGAAAACTGCACTGATTAAGGGTAGGGTTGTACAGCCAATTAATGCAATCATCAGTAAGATGTACACCTGTAAAAATTTGAATTGGCAAAAGTTGTGTGCTGTATATATTTACAACAACAATAAAAAGAGTAGCTACTGAGGCTGTTTATATGCAACCAAACACCTCAGGGGATGTTGTTCCTTGGTTTGGAGGTTTAGAGTAATGGTTTCATCAGCCTAATAACACTTTTAATGCTTATATTCTACCTCCTAGTTTGTTGTGTAAAAAAGCTTGCAGGTGGCCATCCAAAATATAACTGTTGGTCTCTGTTCACCTTGAGCAAGAGAAGAAAAAGGAGAGCCAGGAACAAGAGGAAGATATAAAATGTGTGGCTAATTGCCTCCATGAAAAACGCCTCCTTTGCCATAAGCCCAGAAGAGCTGGATGGTGCATGACTATGATTACTGAACAATGTGATCAAAGATTTCATAGTAGAATCCTGATCAAAAGGGGGAAAATGTAGAACAGAACTTTACTTTCTAAAGGACTCCAGACTTTCTGGAGCTATGGAGGCTAGATGAATCCCTGAAAGTATTGCCCTTAGAAAATCTTCAAACCTGAAACCAAAAACTATCCCCTGAAGTCATCTTAAAATCAAACAATAGTTTAGCTTACCTAGCAAAGAACATCTGCTTTGAGAACTTTTAAGAACTATCTATATGAGATCAAACTGGTAACAGCAACTCAAAATTTTAGATAGGAATCATTAAGGGGTAGTGAGTTTATGTTAATGAGAGAGGAACAACAGTTCACAAAAGAAGGGTGAGAATATGGCACACCTTCGAAGAATGTAAACAGTGTCACTAAATTGTACATGTGGAAACCGCTGAAATGATGTGTGTTTTGCTGTGTATATTCTCAACAAGAAAAATATAAATACAATTTACAAGAAAAAAATGTTTTAAATAAATTTGTGCTCAGATTTTGCTGTTTGTTGATTTACTCTAAACATAGATTTCTTGAATTATTGGTAGCTTTTGTTTTAAATAAACAAGGATATGAGGAATATACCTGAGAGGCAGAAGATGTTGGTGAGTTAAGTACTAATGACAGTAACTGTCTCATGAATCACTGCCTCTTCCACCTTGAGACCAGAACTAGATAGTGCCCATCACCACTACTGAGTGTCCTGATCAGGGACACAAGAGATGAATCCATATCTCTACGGAAGTAGATTGCCTAATCTTCCTTCCGAGGAGTGGCTGGTGGGTGTGAACCACCAGCCTTCTGGTTAGCAGTCAGATAGCTTCAGTACTATGCCACCAGGGCTCCTGAATCCTGATGATAAGGGAGAAAAATGTGCATGAGACTTCAAATTCTTGAAGAATCCAAAGTTAGTGGACCTATAGAGGCTGGAGGAGTCCCTGAGACTATGGTCCTGAGGTGCTCCTCATACCTGAAACTGAAACCACTCCTGAAAGGCCCCTTTAATAAGTAACAATTGAGCCCAAGGAATCAAGAGTCTCGCCCTTGAGCGTTGCTGAGGTTTTTGTTTGTTTTTGTAATTAACTATATAAGACCAAAGAGTCAACAGTTATTTTGAGGAGAAAGTAGGGAAGGGGTGGTGGAGCAAGTTTACATAAACGGAAGTGAAGCAGGTAGAAGGGGCACAACAGGAGTGGTGACACCATGTGAAGAAGGTGACCAAGGTCACTGACCAGTGTGTCCAGAAACTGGGGAATATTGTATACATTTTCATCCAAAATAAGATGGAGTATTAAAAAAAAGCAGCAGAGCAGCACTGACAGACGTTTCTTAAGGAGAAAGGAAACAGGACTGCCTTTCCATAGCCTGTGGCATGCACTGCATTTTGGTCCCAGGTCTGCAGTGTCAAAAATCAAATGTGCACAATATTACATCTGTGGATGAACTAAAAGAAAAATGACTTAAGAATGTGTGTGTCTGTGTGTGTGTGTGTGTGTGTGTTTACTTCCATAACGGGCTGGTAATTTAAAAAGGAGACACACTTACGAGATGGTCTTTAGACATATAACCGTTCTTTTATTTATTTATTTATTTTTGGTGGCGATATACACAAGCAGACATACATCCATTCACGATTTCATGAACATGAACAGTTCAGTGACACTGGTTATATACTGCACATTGTGCCACTGTTCTTAGTATCTACACTCATTGGACTCCACCCCGATCTTGATTCTCTGGTGCTGCTATAACAGAAATACTACAAGTGGGTGGTTTTAACAAACAGGAATTTATTCTCTTATAGTTTAATAGGTTAGAAGTCCAAATTCAGAGTGCCAGCTCTAGGGGCTGGATGAAGGCCCCTCGACCTTGGGCTTCAGCTCTGCCTCTTGTTTCAGGCCTACTGGAGCTGGAGGCATCTCCTAACTCAGGCAGCTGCTGCCTGCTGAGGTTTACAAACCCAAGGTTGGCAGGTAAAATGGCACAATCACAAAATCAATCAGCAACATGGCAGGCCACTGGTTCAAGTCCAGAAACAATCGTAAGATTGGCAGGCAACACAGTACGGCACTAGTTCAAGTCCAGGAACTGAAGATGAAGACTTAGCCAAATGCAGGATCCAGATGTGCCAAAAAGCCAGAGCACATTCTCAAAGCTTCTCTTTATACACTGGAAGCAGGCCACACCTCCAAAGGCAACTCCTCTTC